AGTCAAAGCCGAAACGTTTACTGTGAAACTGGTGCAATGCGGGTAGCGTCATTATGGCACAACTAATAAGGCTTGTAACAAGCTACCTTCTCAAGACAAAAACATGAGGAAACATGCAGATTAGTACCACTCATTGTATCAGTCCGTATGATACTGCTCAAGAGTTTGCTTATCATGACATGAGAATTATTCATAGTTCGATATGTCTGTTTGAATATAAAGGGATTCATTTATCAGACCAAGTATTTAATCATTTCTCTCGATCACAGGAATTCCCAAAAGACCGGGGTTGCTCAGTCGGCAGAGCATCATACTCAGAATCAAAAGGTTCTGGCTAGGTCATTCGCCTTTCTTCATACCGAGGTAGATCAAAGAGTACCACTATGTGGGAAGGGACAGGAAACTACATGCTACGCTCGTCAAAGCTGCAGAATCTGTCTTAAATAAAACACTTCCCTCCTGGCTGACAGCATAGAAACAGAGATCAGCGCCGCGCTATAAAATTCATGAACTGAATGACACCACAAATGGTCTCCATTCATGAAGGGTTAAGAAAGACCGATATCCCTCGAAACGGTTACCAACTTTCCTTTTTTTCCGCGCTGACAACCAGTTGTCCTTCAAAAATGGCGGTGCTACGCAACACAACAACTATCAATCCTATCGAGGCGGATTGCAAATACAGGCTTAATCTGATGCCCTCAAACATGAATCAACAAACTCGTTACAACAGTATATAATCTGCACACACAGTAAGACGCATTGTGCCGCCGATAATCTGCCTCGTCTCAGTATTCTTGATGATGCCATAGAGATACGAAGCGAAATCCGCTACCAACTAACGTTTGCCCGGTGACTCGACAAATACGTCTGAAATCCATATGAAAACATTTAATTTTTGAAATATACGCAACAGCAAACTTAGCTTACAAAATAACAATTAATATGTATGTTCATTTTCGACCTTCATATGGCTAATCTACGTAAAACAGATTCTGAACAGAAAATCCAACAATAATGGGTCATTGCATTGTAGCCTAGAGCTTGCGGGCGTCTATTGAAACTAATGTAAGTTGTTCTGGATGTGTAAGTCGGTCTAAATCTTGCTCGATAACGTTCAGTCCAGAGCTCAGGTGAGCCCATTCATTGCGAAAGTGGTCAACTAGTTAGTAAAGTGGCATATGATGGCCACCTGCAGCAGGAAGAATGGCCGATTGCGATTCTGAACTGAATCAATGTTTGAAAAGCCATGCATGGTCCACAAACTGATAAAAGCTTAGATTTACCCGACTGGCTTCAGCTGCTGACACCGGAATTTTTTCGGTGCGCCCGCACCGTCCCACTGCTTTCAGTCGCTCATGATGATCACTTAAGCAGGCATGGCTCCATGGTATGAATTTCTGCAACGCATTGAATGCGCATCACTGAGAAAGGCTGAACAAGGGCGTGTTCGAGCAGCCACCAATTAAATCTATCAGTATTCATAAGCAAATATATAGACAAAGGTCAACCCACCATGCTCCTGGATAGCTAGCACATTTTATCTTTCCACTTTCGCTGATAATCATAACATTCAGTGGTAACACTGAACACATAACACTGCGATGCAGCCCCGCATCTATTTTGCTGCAGGTGCTCAAACACCATGGAGTTGTGGTCTACTTAAATGGTCCCCTTACGCGACAAAAAGCAAG